AAAAAAAAAAAAAAAAGCTAACCTTTTATGATCAACATACCATAGCTTGTCTCATCTATGCCTCAAAATAGAAAGATGTTCCAGCAGAACAAGGAAGTGGTTATTCAGAGAGGTTAAGTCAGTGGCTCAACGTCACACAGTGAATAGGAGATAGTCAGAACAGGTAACTTTGACAGTTTCCTTGATACCTGGAAGGAGGAGGAGGAGGGCTTACTTCAGACTGGCGGGACTCAATCTTAGACTGGAAACTCCTGGAGGGCAGGGCGTCTGGAGGCAGGGCTGCCTTGCTGGGCCCAGTAGGAACCGCTGTGAGGATAACCCGCTTTGGGGGAATAAAAGGAGAGAGGGGAGGCTGAGCTGGGGGGCACGGGTCTTGCCCCACAGAGGCTGGCTCTGGGGCTTCCCGGACACCCTTCCTTCTCCAATTCCTCCAGACGCAGCCCTTAGCAGCCTCCGCACAGGAGTTAACTGGGCTTAACTTCTTGGAAGAACCTGAAGCTTTTATTCCTTTCTTTGCAAAGTCTTCCTGATCTTTACACCTCCGGCAGGTCCCTCCTCCTTACTCTCACCTCCTGGACTCCAAAACAGTCTGATTGCCAGGGTGGGTCAATGGTTAACACTCAACCAGCTTTATATAAGCTTGCCCTGGCTGGCTGCCTACCTGCTGTATCGCTCCTTCAGCTCAGTGGATCCCGGATGCCACGGCTCCAGCAACCCTTGCGGGTCCACACCATGGCCACCTGCTGGCAGGGCCTGTGGGCCTATCGTTCCTACCTGCTTGTGTTCTTCCTGCCCATTTTTCTGCTGCCCCTGCCCATCCTCCTCCCCAGAAGGGTAAGGACTCTGGGTTTGGCTCCAAAGGGGTGGAGGGCAGTCTGGACGAGGGCTGGGCATCCTTAGGACCAGCATAGTTTACTCATCCTTCCCTGGCCTGGAAATGAGGCTATGACCTCCTGGTTCTCCCGAGACTGAGGGTTGAGAGGTCAAAGGGGGCTTTTGCTTGGCACCCAGGATTAGCAGCCCAAGGCGAATTGCTTAGGTGTACTCGAAATCTACTGCCTTGGGAGATAGGAAGCCAGTTCCGGAAAGGGGGTGCAGGTGGAGGCAGCTGGGGTTCTCTGCCTACTGTGTGCTCGCCCAGCCTTGCTGGGCTCAGTGGGACGTGAGCGGGGCTGGCTGCTGGAAACCAGTGAAAGGGAGTAGGAGGAAGCTGGCTTCGGGCAGTTTATGCCTTTAAGAGTGCAACCAGAGGGACGCCTGGGCGGCTCAACCGGTTAAGGCTCTGCCTTCGGCTCAGGTCATGATCCCAGGGTCCTGGGATCGAGCCCCGCGTCTGGCTCCCTGCTCCACGGGGAGCCTGCTTCTCCCTCTGCCACGCACTCTCTCTCTCTCAAATAAATAAATAAAATCTTAAAAAATAAATAAATAAGAGTGTAAACAGAAAGAGAAAGAGCTCACCCTTGATCCCAAGGGCTAAGTCAGCTGAGGGAGAGGGGTAGGAATTGGACAACAGGACCCTGCCGGTGGGCACCATAGACAGTGTACCCTGGATGGAGGGAGAAGCGCTTACAGCCTACTTCCCTCCACCAAGCAGCAGGTACCATAACTTCGGCTCCAATTTACTGGAGCCCCCACCACAAGCCCTGGACTGTGCACCCAGTAACCCTTCCTCTCATCTTCCCCCTCCCCCTGATGGACCCTTCCTCTCACCTTAAGAGGCAAGCCTGCCTATCCCAATTTACAGATGGGAAAAGTGAGGTTAAGTCACTTACCCAAATCCCAAGGCAGATTCTGGTTTCATGGAGCTTGGCTATAATACATTTTGGAGGCCCCCTTGTAAGTAAAAGACCATAAAATTATGAATCTAAGATTATGGGGCTTTTGGGAAGGGTCAGTTCAGGAGGAGGGTCTTGAAGCTCAAGCTTCACCCGGTAGGTCACAGACTGTGGCAGACCTGGGGGTGTGGTCTAGCTTCTCTTCACCCTGCTGCCTCCTCGAGGACGGGACAGGATCCTGGCCCTGGCCCCACCCACAACCCCAGGCCTGCCCATTATCATCCTTTTATCACAAAAAGGGAAATCGAGGCAAGCTTTTTGTTCATGGTATCCCAAAGGGGTGAGAGAATGGGGATACCGTGGCCCAGCTCTTGAACCCCTGACACTTGGTAAGTGACAAGGCCTGGCTGACCTTTAAGACCCTCCTCTCGGGCCAAAGCCAGGGACAGCTCCGTGCTGGGGACCCATCCGATGGGTTTTCAGACAGCTTGGGCCAAGTGTGTTCACTGCAGGAGGAAGGACAGGCAGGGACCCTGATTCCCATTTCCCTCCTCAGGAAAGTACAGCCCAGAAAGATTCAGCAACTTGCCTAGGGTCGCACAGGAAAGCTGGAGTCAGGGGAAGCCAGGCCCCCTGGCGGGAGGGCTAGGAGTCAGGAGCCCCCCCCGCACCCCTCTCCCGCCCCAGCCCTGCTGCCTGCTTTGGCCTCACAGACGCTTTCATCCCTGTCCTGACTCGGATGAACTGTTCCCGGTCCTCCCTGTGGAATCTGGCCCCTCGGCTCGAGCCCTGGAAACCAGCTCCTCTCAAGGACTTTATCCCCTCTCCAGCCTCATCAATTTTCCCCTCTCTCCTAATCTCTCCCATCAGCATACAATCTCTCTCACTGTAAAAAACCAAACAGACCCTCCTTGAATCCCACAATCCCTCCACAGAGGCCTGCTTTCTTTGTCTCTCTCAAGATGGAAGGCCTCCAAATCTGTCTGCACGGCTCGGGTCTTTCCTTAAGACAGCTCCA